GAGGATAAAGGTGCTGTGCTGCAGCTGGTATGTTGGCTAGAGCTTCATGAAACTCAATGCGCAGTTTTGACAGAGGGGGCACAACTGTTGGCAGGTTCTGGTGACCGTGGCAAGCCTCAGCGGGAGTTATTCTAAGAATACAACGTATGATCAGATTACCGAGGGACACTTTACATAGCTCTAAAAAATGAACCATCTGACAGTTTATGACAGCTCTGCCTGTTCCAGCCAAATGAGGAGTGTGCTGGTCTCTGCTGACCCTGCAGCAGGGTTGTGAGACAAAGAAAGTGCTTTCCAGAGGTTGTGAACCTACAGGCCTCTGTCTGTGTAATACCTGCTTACATCTAACTCTTGATAAGGAAACCAAAAGATGTTTAGGACTTGTTTTCTCTTGCAATTTTGATTCCTGGTAATTTAACACATCCTCGCTGCAGTTTATTTGGCTTGGCAATTTGTATAGTTCTGTATTTAATAATTCCTGTGATGCTAATGTCTTTGTAGAGTGATCTGGGTTTTTTTTTTTCTGTTTTTTTTGCTACTAGTATCTCTATTAACTTAATATACCCTTCCACCTTGTTTTTCCCCTGGCTCTGTGAGAACATGCTTCTGGAAGAAGAAAGCTGTATGAGAGGTGGAGGCAAGTGGAAAGTGAGTTCTAAAGCTGGACATTTTGAGGATCCACATTTGAACACTCTAGAGAATTTCTCTCTAGAGTATTTCTATACCAGCTTCTAATATGTACAATTTGTACAAGTCTCCCCTCCCTCTAGTCTTCTCCAGTGAAGTACATTGCCTGAGATAGCATTGGATTTTTGCTGTTGTTGTCAAAGACAAGCAGTTAAATGCATGCTTAGGGAAACACCTCTCACTTTCCCAGGCTGTCTACAGTTTACTGCCTACAGTTTTCCTGCCAGCTGCCTGGTCTCAGCTTCCCTTTTTTTTTATTCTCTGTAATACTCAGTTCCTCCTAACTCCTTTCAGGTGCTGCATGGTGCAGGAGGTTGGGGGTAACTGTGTAAAGGTTTCTTTCTGCTACCCCTTGCTTTTTAGTTTGTTGGGGTTTGGGGTTTTTTTTGTTTGTTTTTTTTTTTTCTTTTCTCTGGTGCTCCTTGTTTCTTGCTGCTTCTCTGCTCCTGTGTGAGTTCTCAATGAGCTGCAGGCCTTTCAGGGTTGTCCCTGCTCTGCCATGTGTCTTCCATGGGCTGCAGTTGCCTCAAAGTGTACTTCTGCCACAGAGCACTTCTTTTCAAGAGCACCTTTCTAGCCATGTCCCCAACAAGGTCCCCTGCCATGTATCTCCTTTTCTCCTTCATTTTGTCCAGATGTGTCTTTTCACATGTTTTGCATTTCTCTTTTCTGTGCATCCGCATATGTGTCCTTTTTGTGGTTCCTTTGTGTGTCTCTCTGTGTGTCTCCTGCCCCCAGTGCTTATTGCCCTTTCCAAAATACTATTTATTTGTTTAGTTATTTATTTGAATAGGGGTAGCTTGTACTTCTCTGAGTGGGTCAAGGGTTTCGATGGCTCGTTGTTTTCATGCATTTTGGAGATGGCTGGAACTGACCGTGGCTGGCACAGGGCTGTTCATGGCATCCTGTTACATGGATTACTCCTGCAGCCTTCTGCTGCTGAAGTAGAATAGTGCTCTGTTAGACTACTCAGTCTGTATAATTTCTTGACTTCATGGAATCAGAACAAAGCAAAACTTGCTCTATAACATGTAATATCTGTTTGGGAATCCTTTGCAATTCATTCTGCAAGGATGATCCATTGTTAAGACAGTGTTTTGAGACTTTCCATGTGTTCAAATCGTCAGTATATCCCAATATGCACCCTTTAAAAGTTTGCCTGAAACTCGCCGCATCCACTTCTCTCAAGGCTAGTTTTTCCTCTTGCTTCCACTAACTCATTCTCTTTGCCCCTCAGAGGGTCCTTGTGGTGTGTATAAATTTTCATTCTTTTTCTTTATAGACAATGGGGTTTGAGCACCTGGTTTGGTTCTGCACACTTCCCACTTTTGACATGAGTCAAAACGTCCTGAAATCTTGCACATGCTGGTATCTGTGCAAGAAGAATCACTGCTCTTGTTTCTTACCTTTCAACTTGGATCCTTGTCCAACAGATGGAGAGTTTGGAAAGCCATAAATATTATTCCAGGGACTCGAAAAAGGTGGGGTGTGTATGTGTTGCTAGTAATTGGTGTTGGCTTTGTAAAAACGGTCACATTGGTTGGAAAAGCAGACAGGAAGAAGGTAGCATGACAGCATCTACTCTCATCAAACACTCCTGGGCATGTCACTGTGCTAATGCTGAAACTGTGTAACTGAAGAGGTCAGTGGTTACGTGCTGGGCATTGTGTTTCTGGCACAGTGTGTTTCCTAATTTGTGTATAGAGAAGCTGGAGCTGTTTTCTCAGCCGCAGGCCTGATCTCTTCTCCCAGGGGAATGAGGAGAGCTTCTGTAATGACAGTATCAGGAAAAGATTAAGATCTGTAAATGTAAAATGCTTTCCTATCCCTGTGTAAGCTTTGGTTTTGTTTCATGAATATGAACTAAATCTGGTCATTGACATTTACATTCTTCTGTTTCAGAAATAGATGGAATTAGTAGCTTTGCCAGCCCTTCCCTAAAGGGTTGGGTGTTCAGTTTCTAGCACAGTCTTTCATGGCATCCAGCTTTTTTCAGGGTTGGGTTGTACAGGGGTTTTAAACTAAAAACATGTGTCAACCTTTTCATAGAATATTCAACTAGTGGAATAAATTTTGCATCTATTTTCACTGCTTGCATTTTTTGATGTCTATAATGCCCTAATATACAAGTTCTCAATTCAGCCCATAAACATTCCATAGAAAATAATTGGGATATTAGAATTTTGTTATAAATAAACTTCCTAAGAGCTGTGGCATTGCTGTTGAGTTTATTCTGACTTAATTCCTCAATCATTTGCAGCCATATAAGATGTCTCGCAGCTTTGCACTTCCCACTCCCAACTTCTTATAAAGATTCTGTCTCGTTACTAGTGTGGTCACCACAAATGTTTTATTTTGCTGGGACTGTTCTTTCTATCATGGTTTCTGTCTTGAATCAGCCTAGGGTTCAGATTTGTAGCTGCTGCTTTTCTGGTTTTGCTCTTTATTCCTTCATCTCCAGGAAAAGAACAAAATCTGTGTGTCTTAGACTTGATATATGGGAGCCAGTATATGCAACCTGTATAGCGTGCCTCATGCCTTGGTGTCCACTCATACAGTTCTGTGGTGCTAGCTGTCAATCAGATCTAAGCTCGCTTCTCCTATTCACTGCTAAAGTTGTTGGTAGTTCAGCCTTTTCTGCTTCTCTTCCTGATTTGTTTTCTTTTTAAATCCTGGACCCGAGTCTTCTGCAGTTTTTTGCTTTCATTCCAAGCAATTTAAAATTCTGTACCAGTGACCTTGTAGCTTCAGGTTTTGTTATCCATTTAATTCATGTTGTTCTTAACGCCTTTTTCCTTCATCTGTCACCGTGACCATCTTCTCTTTGCATCTCTGCACTGGTCTCTCCTCTCACATCAAACATAAAGCTGCTTGTCTTCATTTCCCGTATCATGTCACACTGATAAATTCTGTGTAGGTGTTTCTATGTACTTCCTCATTTTTGTGCATTTTCTTAAGTTCACAGAATGACAGACTCATTTAGGTTGGAAGGGATCGATCTCTTCAAATTGTCTAGTCTGGCCCTATTGCTCAAGCAGTGTCAGCTACAGCAGGTTGCCCAGGATTGTATCCAGTCAGGTTTTGAGTATTCTCCAAGGATGGAAACTCTACAACCTCTCTGGGCAGCCTGTACCAGTATTTGACCACCTTTCCAGCAAAAAAAAAAAAAAAAATTGTTTTCTCTCTCTTCTGCTTTGTTTTCAGATGGAATTTCATGTCTTTCAGTTTGTGCCCATTTGTTTCTTGTCCTATCGCTTGGCACTGCTGAGAGGAGGCTTGTTTTCTCTTCTTCATTGCCTCCCATCAGGTATTTATATGCAGAGATTAAAAACTCCCACTGAGTCTTCTCCAGGCTAAACAGTCTCAGCTCTCTCAGCTTCTACTCGTATAAAGGTTTCTCCTGTCTCTTAATAGTTTTTGTGGACCTTTTGCTGGACTCACTCCAGTATTTCCACATCTTTCTTGTGCTGAGGAGCCCAGAACTGGACACAGTACTCAAGATGTTGCCTCAGCAGTGCTGAGTAGAGATGAAGGATCACCTCCCTTGACATGTTGTCAATAACCTGAGACGATGTTAGTCTTCTTTGCCTTCGGGTGCATTGCTGGCTCACTGTCTGCTTGTTCTCAACCAGGACCCCATCCACTGAGTCAATTTTCAGTACACCTGCTTGTCCGCTTAGCTCGCCCATATTTTGTCAGGGTTGCCTATGAGGATATTATGGAAAGCAAAGTCAAAAGCCTTGCTAGAGTCACAATATGTACAGCTCTGTACTCATCCACCTGGCTGCAGAAACTACTAGGTCGGTTAAGTATGATTTCCAATTTGTAAATCTCTGTGGACTACTTCCAATTGCCTTCTTGTCCTTCATGTATCTGGAAATGGTTCCCAGGATTACATGTTCCATCACCTCCCAGGGACTTAGGTGAGGCTGACTGTTATTTCCTGGATCTTCTTTTTTCCTGTTCTGAATGTTCTAGGGTGAGTGGCTTTCCTTTTTCTCCTTTGAACTGGCGATTTTGATCCATGCTTACAGATTCTACACACTATGGAAATATAATTAAGCAAAGCACATGGTTCTCCTTTTTACTGATAATTTTAAGCTATACAGATGCAAGCTGGGAAATAGAATTTGCAGTCCAAGGTTCTGCTCCTAAAACTCAGACCATGTAAACTAATGAGTACCTTTCGAAGACAGAAAATAGTGTGTAGTATCACCCTTCTGCTGATGTCTATAGACAGTTAATTCCCTAATGCATCTTTCCCAGAGGTCATAGCTTTCTAAACTTTTATTTGCATTATTTCTCTGTTCCAGGCCGAAATGAGCTGATTGCCCGCTATATTAAGCTGAGAACAGGGAAAACACGCACAAGGAAACAGGTAAGTTTTCCCTGTAAACATTAGTTTTGTGGGACCACTAGACCTGATGAGGGCTTATGAGAACAAATACCTTGCTGTTCACTTGTTATTACCTTCTGGCATTGCTGGAAAGAGGTGGCTGTGCTGCACTGGTTAATAAGAATGGTGGGAAGAGTCAGCTCAGGCATTTTACAGTAGGATTGTAATGCTCCTGTCTCCCAGCCACACTGAGAGAGAATTTTTTCCTGCTATTAAATGGTGTATGATTTCATTTGCTTGGTTTACTAATGAATTTTTCAGTGAACCTCAGTAGTCCTCTATATGAAGGATCTTGCTCAGCCCAAATAGGTAGACAGCTGTGGTGATTTTGAAAATACCCAGGGCATGGGATGCAAAAGGAATCTTTTTAATTTGGGAATGATAGTCCAGGCTATACTGGACAAAGCACAGAGCAGCCTAGACCTGCTTTGGGCAGGGGGTTGGTGAATGACATCCAGAAGTTCCTTCCAACCTAAATTATTTTGTCATGCGTTTTGGCCCACATTAGATATGGGGAAGTTCTGAAAGTTATTATATAATGATGGGGGATATAGAAGTGGATATAGAACATGGTTTTCCCTCCTCTCAAGAAGAGGCTAAGATGGGGGGAGCAAAGAGATCAGAACTGTCAGTCCCTTGATTTAAGGGTGGGCTCTTCAGTTTTAGACGAGGTCTCTGACTTGACAAAGCCACTGAATTGGAAAATGTCTTAAATGAGACCTTTGCTGATCCCCCACCTCATTTCATTTCACTTAAGGTATATTTAGAAAAGCATCTCATTGCTACCTCCAACTCCCTCTTCCCCCAGTCCTGAATAGCTCCCTATTGCACAGGGTGCCTAAAGTATGTTTACTTCTGCAAGCAGCTACCAAGTACTCCTCTGAAATGAAGATGGATTTTATCTTTTCAATGCAGGTATCTAGTCACATCCAGGTCCTGGCAAGGCGGAAAGCTAGAGAGATCCAAGCCAAGCTCAAGGTATGATGGGTGTCCTTTAACATACCACCAAGCCCCCTGAGTCAGCTATTTTTCCCTCATCCATTCCCTCTTTGAATAGCCTTAAGAAAGGGTGAGATTAATTGCTGAGTTGTAGTAAGCTGCTGTCATCCAAGTCTGAAAGACCCTTAGACTTGGGAGTATGCAAAGAGTGTTTACCTGGGAAGAAAGAGTTTGTTGTTACAAATGCTGACGAGTAATCAGTCCCTGGTGTTGTGGCAGCCCTGGGAAAAGGTAGCCTTACTGTCACTACAGTGCTAGTTCCACCTCTACTAGTGGTAGTGATGTGGAGTTGTCTGTGAGAAAGCATTCCTAGTTGGCATAAACACTGAGAGGAAACAATAAAGCCATTTGGCTTCTTCTCAGGTAAAATGGTGCCAGCTGAATAGACTTTGCCCCTTGATTAATTCAGACCTAATTTGAAGAGACCTGGGCTAATGAGATAGAATAGATAGACTACTAGCTTGAGCAAATCTGTGTTTTCCTTTCTATAGGAAGAGCTCTGAGATCACAGTAATGAACTGATGCCTCTTGACATCTATTTATGCTGATTTGAAGCAGGGTGATGGTTTATGTGCTCAGACTGAATTGCAAGAAGTATGAAGAAGGTTGAGTTTATGGATGATAATTGCACAAGAGGGTGTCCCCTGTTAGAATATGAGCCATTCAGAAAGGGCTTGCTGAGCAGGATTTGAGGCCTGATCCTTGTTATGTATTACTGAAACAGCCAGAGAAGGAAGGTGTGTGCTGACCTTCTTGATTTGCTATGGTAATAAATGATCTAGAAAGAAGTGTGTTTGCTTCATGCTTCAGGTGATGGTGAGGATCTTGACAGCCCAGTCCATCCCCAACTGCTGAGTGGATGGCTGTTAGTATGTGCTTCCTCTTTGCTGGCTGGGCAACTCCTTACTGGGCAGTAGGGGAAGTGGACTGTCTGTGAGTGAACTGTTAGCACTCAGTATTGACAAGTGCTGAAGTTCATGCATCTCTATTGCAACTAGTGATTACCTCTAAAGTCATGACTGCACCCTCCACATCCCATCCCCAGCTCCATTTTAGAAAGTGGTGTTGTGTCTGTCATTAGCCTGCTCTGTTTCCAGTTGCTCTGATAAAGAGAAGGAGCCATAAATTACAGCTATCTAATTGCCCTTCTAGGTAGGGCTGCCTAAGCCTGAAACCTGTGGTGCTGTTAAGTGGTCAATTCAGGTGGAGGCTCGCTTGAGAGGCGAGTTAGAGCAAGTAGGAAACAACAACTGCCTGGGGTGTTAAAAGATTTACTGCTACTTAAATCTGTAACTTTGATTCTGTTCCTTGCATGTCACAGCTCTGGGATTTGGCATGATTGAAAAGCCAGCCAGCCGAGCTTGTTTCCACTTAGCACACAGGAGCTGGCTGTTTTTGTTCTCAGGGAATGAAGGTGTCTCAGGGAGCTATATGGAGCCACTGGTTGTTCTCCTTTTACACCACCCCAGGCCATGCTGTGAGCTCTGCCCAGCTGCCTGCAGTGAACCATTCCCCAGTACCAGACTGTTCCTTTCTGCCTGCAGAGGCAAGTCTATAGCACTGATTCAACTCATTTACTTCTTTGCTTTTGCTAGTCATTTTCATAGAGCAAGTAAATGAAATCACAAAAGCTGCTGCCTTTCTCCCAGGTTCCTGCTGATAGCAGTGTGTTCTACTACCACTGTTCGTTTTCCATAGCAAGTATATGTTTTCATATTTATATCCTAGAGATCGGAGCAGCTACATGCTGACTTTTCAGAGCAGTTATCATAATACAACTATTTTCAGACAAATTGGCGTATCTCCTCTAACAGATATATGCGCCTATAACATATAGAGGTGGGAAGGTAGGATAAAGCTTGGAGAAAAGTCTGTTCCCAGAAGTCAGTAGTTTTCTATGTCCTGCGTGGCTAACAGATAACACGTGTACTAAGGAAAAAGAGGGAAATGGTGGTGATACTATTATCCTTATTAATTATTCTGCATTTTCAGAAAAATAAAATACATTGCAAACGTTTGGTAAAAGTTTTTTGTCTACTTTAATACTTGCACAGGCAAATGCCTCTTCCCCATAAACTCAAACAAACATGATTTTTCCAGCGAGAAAGGGGAGAAAAAAAATCTTTTTCTGCAATGGCAACGGCAAGAAAATGGTAATGTCAAGAAAAAAAACCAAACCCCACAAAACCTAAAAGAATCCTTACCTTAAAAAATGTTGTAGCTAATCCTTAGATCATTCTCTAAAACACCATTTAAACTGGATTCTGACAAGCTTTCTCATAGCTTTGGAGAATCTTGGGCGCTTTCTCAGCAATCGAAATGTTTCCCTTCCATTCACTTAAATGGTACCAACAGGAGTCACAGACTCTTTGGAAAAGATTTGTAAGGTTTCCTTACTGACCATTCCACTTAAACATTGTAATTTATTCTTGAGCTTTTGTTACGCCTCCTCCAAATGTTTTTGTGCTCGACACATCAGAATCACTGGGCTCTGGACTTTAGAAAACCTTACAGAAGGTGGAGGGGTTAGAACAAATGGAGACGCAAGGGTGAGAACTTACTGCAGTTCAATGAATGCAACTGGGAGGTGAGAATCCCTGAAGACAGCCAGAGCTTATCTCTTTCAGTGGTTTCTCCAAGCCATGAGTTCATCTGTGGCATCACCATTGTAATTATTTGACATATAAATCTGGAGTGCTTGAAGGATGAAGATTATTTGTAGAGGATGTGGGAGGAAAGGGAGAATGTGGGGAAGCACTTCTGTTTGTATATTTATTCCTTGGAAGAAGAAATTAAGAATGCTATTTGTTTTAAACATGCATCATACCACTTGGTTGCTGTGCCATCATTACCTGTAAAAATGTATGGAGTTCCACAGCCCTGTTAAACTACAAGGTGGAATGTCCTTGCATGTGTGCCCTGGGAGTGTATTAAGATTTTTTGTTTCCCCGGGGATGGGAATAAATGGTCAACTCTACCTGTGTCTAATGTAGTCCCAAACAGCAGGTAGTCTGTTTGCAGTGATGGTGACAAACTCCTTTTGTGAATTTGTTTTATGAGGATTTTTTTGCTAAGCAAGAGTCTTTCCCTTTGAATATTCTTACCAATTATTAAAAACAAGAGTCAATTAGGGCTGTACTTTCCTTAACAGAACATTTCCACTCTGCAGCTGAAAGCCTTCAGACAGAAAGAATAAATGCTTAGCAGTCTCTAAACCAGTGATCCCAGCATTTCAGAAAGGGTGGTTAATCACATCGGAAGCTATAGTAATGGGTGAAAGACTTGGTTCTTAGGACAGTTATTGGTAGGCCTGCTTCCCAAGTGCTTGTTCCCTGCAAAGAAACTGATGAGAATCCTGGTTATGCAGCATTAGACCAGGCAATTTGTTTATCATTATAATAATTCTGGGTTTCTTTTGTTTTCTTTCTACTCTTGCCCATAGGATCAGGCAGCTAAAGATAAAGCCATGCAGAGTATGGCTACAATGTCATCTGCCCAGATTATCTCTGCAACTGCCTTCCATAGTAAAATGGCCTTGCCTGGTCTCCCACGACCTGCCTACCCTGCTGTTTCTGGGGTGAGTGAATCAGTATCTCAGCAGAGTTGGGCTGAAGACACTTGAGTAGTTGAAAGGATGTTGGCATCTGCTCATGAGAATCCTGAGAGTCTTAGAACGAATAGGCCACAAAGCACATGGCAAAAATTTGTCACATGGCTTCAACATTTTGTGTCTGATTCTTTGCTACCACTGAATATAGTGTCATTATATACACAAGTGAGAGAACAATTGGATCCTTTGGGTTTTCAGCTGCCTGAAATATCTTTAGGTATCTGTATCACTTTCCTAGTCCAGGATCTCGTTGGATTAAAACCATTTGAGCCATCATGACCCTTCCTCAAGTTTATCATTCCCAAGCTCCTCCCAAGTGCTTAGATCACAAATTGATGACCCTTACATAAAATCCTTAATAGACAAGGCCTGTCAGCATCCCTTAACCTATGAGCTGGGCCTAATGAGCTTTTGCTGAGCATTGATTTCTGCCAAAATACTCATGTGGAGCTCTCTTGGGGAAAATGGTCCCTCTAAGAGAGTGAGCATCATTAAAGCTTTGAAGACAGAGGCACAAGGTGCATACATAGTGTTTAACATTAAAACCACTATTAGTTCAGTTGCTTGTATGTCACTAATAGTAGTGTGTAGAAAGAAAACTATGACCAATCAGCACCTCCACAAGGAAGAAACTAAGAAAGAACACTGAAAACAGAGATAAAATTCAGTCACATTTTTAAAACTCCATGAGCTTGCAGTTTCTTTCCTGAGAAAGAAGCAAGCCTTGCTTTTAGTTTCTGTCCTGTCTTGGTATGGTTAATTTTCTTCCAAGTAGCTGATGCAGTGCTGTGTTTTAGCTTTAGTGTGAGATCAATGCTGATAACACACTGGTTTTTAGTTGTTGCTATGTAATGCTTACTCTGATCAAAGACTCTTCAGTCTCATGCTTTGCAAGTGAGGAGGGGCACAAGAAGCCAGGAGGAAGCGGAGACAGGACACCTGACCCAAACTAGCCAAAGGGGTATTCCATACCACAGCACGTCATGCGCGGTATAGAAACTGGGGGGAGTTAACCAGAAGGGACTGATTGCTGCTCAGGGACTGGTCGAGTATCAGTCAGTCAGTGGCTGGTGAGCCGTTGTGTTGTGCAGCACTATTGTTTGTTTGTTTTTTTTCTTTTTTTTTTTTCTTTTTTTCTTTTTTTCCCTCTTGTGATTGTTTTTTTTGTTTGTGCGGGTTTGTTTTTTGTTTGTTTATTTTCACTCTCTCTTTTTATTATTTCCCTTTTCATTATTAGTATTATATTATACTTTGCTACTTTAGTTTAATTAAACTTTTCTTACTTCAACCCAAGATTTTTACCTTTTTTCTGATTCTCCTCCCCATCCCACTGAGGGGGAAGGGGAGTGAGTGAGTGGCTGTGTAGTACTTAGTCACCAGCTGGAGTTAAACCACAGCATGTCCTAAGAGTGGTGACTTTTGCCTGTATGTTTTCTCTTGCAGTTTTGGCAAGGAGCTTTGCCAAGCCAAGCTGGATCTTCCCAAGAGTGAGTATTCCTTCACATGAACATCCAAAGCAGATGCTTCTGCTGCTTCCTCTATGCTTCCTGAGGAACACCAGTTAGCTCTTACAAGATTTATAAAATGCTAAGACAGATTTCTTGACTGGATCTGAGACTTGAGGCCCATAGGCATAGAATAGTTAGGGTTGGAAAGGACCTTAAGATCTAGTTCCAACCCCTCTGCCATGTGCAGGGACGCCTCTGAGAGACATAAGAGAATCTCATATAGATAACAGCTTGTGTCTTCATATGGTACTTTCAACACAAATTGCACCTCTTTAATATGTCCTATGACTCAAGCAGCCATAAACGTCCCCATAAGAAATCTTGTGCAATCCCAAAGTGCTCTTTCCTTGCATTCACTAATGTGTCCTATACCATCTAGGCGATAACCCCTCTCAGTTTGTAGTGACTGGTTTGTAAACCTCCCAGGCTGGCTCACTAATTTTGTTTCACACCTGGACAATGTAGCTAGCGGCTCTCCTTTGGCAGCCCTGGAAGGGGCCTTTGCAGGGGCTTTGCTCCTCTGACTGCATGACTGACATCAAAGAGATGACCCTTTGGTGGGCTGATCCTTCACCAGTGATGGCCCTGGGTGTAGTTGTGTCAGAGTAGTATTCAGGTCTGCCATTGTTCTTCTGTGCTTTGTATGGAGACACACTTTTTATCACAGAACCTAAGAGGAGCAATTAAAGCCAACTGAAGGATAAGCAGCCAGAAGGGTTTATGTTCTTCACCCAGTCTGTGTGTTCCTGCTGCCTATGGTGTTATTGCTAGTGCTTGTGGAACAGATCAGGCAAACAGATGATGCTATTAAAATATTTTGTGGGGGAAAATGGCTAGTAAAAGAATGTAAACCATCCTAGAAGAAATAAAAAGTAGGTTTTATGCTTTTAGCTTAAAAGTGAACGAGGAAGCATAATGTGAGAGGTTCTTTAAGAAGTCTGAAGTGTCTCCCATCTCTGATGTCAGATGATGTCTCCAGATCCTGATTTTTCTTACAGTGTTGTTAAAATGGAGCTGAGCTGTCTTGAAAGCTGGGTTCACTTACGGGTGTTGAACATCTCTGAATCTGGGCATGAAAGTCTGAGAGGCACCCAGCCCTGAGGTATATCCACTTGCAGAAATTTAAATCTATTTGTGGTTGAAAAGAAAGGATAAATCAATTTGCACCAGTGTATTCGCAGGCTGACAGGATCTCTGAATAACAAGGCTGTAGGGAGAGCCCACTGAACACATGCAGGGAAATCTTACTCAGTCCAGTCCTGGTCTCTTACGGTTTTTGAGTCTTTCTCCATGACCCTTTCTTGCCCACAAGGAAAGATAATTTCCTAAGGATGCTTATGCCACTTTTTCACTCAGGAGAAATACTTGATATGATCTATATAAACAGTTAGCCAAGAATTGCTTGTTTTCTCTATTGTTAACCATTTCTCTTTGTGTACTTCTGTAGTGTGAAACCTTTTTCTCAACAACCTTATGCTGTACAGCCTCCATTACCATTACCAGGTAGGTAAGGAAATGTAGTTCCTTGTTTTGAAATTAAATTCAAAGTTCAAGAACAACCAACGCCTAAAGTTTAGAAATTAATTAAAAAAATATTTTAACCTATTGAAACATTTCAGTGAAGCCAAAATGAATTTTTATATTATCTCCCCTTATTTATTACCTGTTCTTACGCTTTTACTGAGAGAGCGCCAGCTTTTTAATTTTTCTTTATTAAAAAAAATTTTTTTCCTGGTTTAGGCTGGTTGTTCTGGGATTTCTTCTGGCTCAGCAGAAAATAAAAGTTTACATATCTCTACAGTTCTTCCACCATTGTGCATGTACTAGAACACTGTTTTCCATGATTGCCATTCTAATTACTCATTAAGTGCAACAACAAATGTGCTTTCCTTCTCAGTTTCCCCATTTTGAGAGGTTAATGGTTATGTTAATGGCGATGCTTCATTCTGATACTAAAGCAGTTTATTTCACTGCTTATTTAGGGCTCAGTCTAGGTCCTCTTAAAGTTGCTGAATGTGTTTTCTCTGGTGTCAAAACCGAGTAGGTTGTCTTTTACATTGCCAACTCTGACAGTGCTGTCTTAGCAGAGAGTCACTAAGAAGCCATTTAGAGCACAGGTAGAGTGAAGACCTTGTGAATGATATCTTTTCATGATGACTGAAGGCATAAGAAAACGTAATGAGTCAGTTTTGACAAGAGGTGCTCTACTGAAAAGATATTGCCACCCTTTCTCTTTCTAAATATTGTCATCTACATCCTGTGTGCTTAGGGTTTGAGTCTTCTACTGGCCTCTCACCTTCCCCATCATCACCAGCTTGGCAAGGACGAAGGGTTGCTAGCTCCAAACTTTGGATGTTAGAATTCTCTGCGTTCTTGGAACAACAACAAGACCAAGACACAGTAAGATACACACCTGACTTCCACCCCTCATTAATTTTTGGTCTTCAGGTAGCTCCTGTTCATTGTGGGTGTGTTACACTATTACACATGTATGGAAATACTTGCTTCATTGCTCTACTGAGAACAGAAAGCAATCTTTGGGAAAAAAAAGATATCCTTCTCTTAGAGGATAGAATTGCCTATAGTGATATAGCCAGTTCTGTGCCATGTGCTTCTGGCCTACCTTTCCAGGATCATGGATGTTCACATATCTCAAGGCACTGAGGTTGTGCTACACAGTGGTACAGCCCCTGCCTGTCTATTCTAGCTGCGCTGTTCAGCCTAGGAGGATAGACTCAGAATCAGATGATGGTAAGATCACATGAAGCCACGTATTTCTCTGTTGTGTTGGGAAGTGAAATTTGGGGGCAACTGGGATGAATTTGTATTAGTGTGTTTCCATGGTGTCATCTATAAAACGGTAGTAAGATGCAGTATCACTAAACATTGTGATACTGCATCTTGAGACGTACAGTGGTGATACGCCAGTTACATTTCCTCTGTCTGAGATAGGAAAGTTCAGAAAAGATGATAGTATTTGCCCTGTACCTTGCTGTGGGATTTCAGGCAGCTCCTCTTCGTAGGACAGGAGCATTGAGACTGGGTAACCTGTGACAGATAACGTTCTGTGTCTCAGGTTGTTTCAAACTATATAGCAGCAGCATGAGGCAAATACAAAAGGAGCAAATACAAAAGCAAAAATATTTCAGAAGAAGCAATAAGTGTGAATGTATTGATAGGAAAGAAAAACCAGCATGAGCTGGTATTAGCAGCAATACTCCTGCTTATATTTCTGCTCTTTTAGAAAATGCTATCAAATCTTCAGTAATTTCCAGGAGTCTTCTGTGAAGGAACCATGACTGTTCAGTATGTACCGAGCAATTTCCTAATTTCATGTTTTTCCTCTCCTTGCAGTATAACAAACACCTGTTTGTGCACATTGGGCAGTCAAGTGCCACCTACAGTGACCCCTACCTCGAGGCAGTGGATATTCGGCAGATCTATGACAAGTTCCCTGAGAAAAAAGGGGGCCTGAAGGAGCTCTTTGAAAAGGGGCCAGCTAATGCCTTCTTCCTTGTCAAATTCTGGGTAAGGGAAGGACCCTTTGTAGAGTAACCATTTGCTATGAAGTTCCCACTTGAAAAGTGGTGGCCTCGCTAGCTGTTAGAAGACTGCCACCTCCCAAAGTTTTCCCTGTGCAGGGAAGTTATGACAGTCACAACTGTAATAAGTTGCCTGCACAGCTTCCCGCAATTGTAGGTGAGGTCTTTCCCTGACTCCACAAGGCACCCATTCTGGCCTGGGGCAAGATGTATCTTTCACATTGTGTTCACTTCTCTGTGTTGAGTAACTTCTCAGTCAGAAGCAACATTTTTCCCTCTCTTCTCTTATCTCAGTAGCTGTATTTTGTGTTATCCAAGCATTTATATAGGCATATTTACTGCAGGCACAAGGACAGACAAAAGATGATGAAATTGGATTATACTGATAATATATTACAGAAATGACTTTTGGTAAATTGGCAGAAAACAACCTGGCAAAAGCCTACTCACTCAATTTAGATTTTTGTGAGCTGGAATTTGCAAAAACTGTGCTATTGTACTTCAGGGTACAAACAAAGCAGTTCTGGCGATCAATATTATCATAGGTACTACAAGATTTAAAGTAATAGCAGCTCGGGGTTGAATGCTAGATGGCTGGGGGAATGCGTAATGGGATTTGGAGCCTGTCACCCTGAGTTTGCGACTTATAATTCAACTCCAGGTAAGGAGCGAGATGATGAGAAATGAGCTCTCATACTCTTCATGCAAACTGGCACTAGAAAGTCTCTTCAGTGATGCTTTCAGGACAGGGAAGAGTTAACTTAAACGCCTCGAGATGCAGCTTCCCTGCTGTCCCAAACCTTAGCCTTTCCAGAACAGTTAGAGAATGTTGGCCAGGAGTCTGCTTTTTAAATGTCTGGTGCTCTGAGTATTAGTTGCTGGTGATTCTTGGAGACATGTAATTTTACTAGCCACAGACTGTGATACTGAGCTGGCCCCTCATGGGTTTAGCCTATGTTAGAGTACAACAAAGCCTTGCTTGGGAAGGTGAAAACAAAAAGACCAGGCCTGTTCCAAGTGGAAGAGAAATACTTGAGAGAGACAGCAAACATCTTGTTGAGAAGGGTATCCTTTGACAAAATCTGGGTGGTGATTGCCGTACTAATAGTTGTTTGGAAAGCGAAACAGAAGGCTGATGTGACAAAAGGAAGGAAAAAGAGTAAGAGGGGATAGCTTCTAAGAATAGTCCTTTGAAAAGTAGGAGTTGCAAGAGCTGCTTCCTGCTGTGGGGGAGGGATCCCAGGAAACTCTTCATGTCAGGTAAAGAGCACTGACTCCTGTGTGGTGTCACTCTGAAGTACTTTGGAAGTTTCTGGAACCAAAAAGAAGGGCTTAGAGGGAGAGGTTAGGTGGAGAGAATAAAATACTTTTGATTTCTTGACTTAAGGAGGGGGAGATCATAATGAAATTATGATCTAATGCAACTGTGATTTTATTTATAAAAACAGCGTTCTTTTGTGCTTGTGGGGTTGGGTTTGGGGATTGTGTGTGTTTGTTTTTTAATATCAGAAGGGTAAATATGGCCTATGCATAATGTTAGACCAATGTAAGTTAAGCTTCTGGAGGATTTACATGGTGGGATGTCGTGAAGTTGGACCCTTTCTGGCACACATGAGGTGACTGCTGTTCAGAGGGTATCAACTCACTGAAATTCGGCTTGTATAAAGAGATGTGACATAGGATTTGAAACACTTTGATTTTAACATGTATATGATGTTATGTGGCTCTGCACCTGTATGCTTGGAATGAAAGTGATATTTCTGGGCTTGGTTTAATAATATTTTTACCTTTTTTTTTTTTTGATACTCTTGCATTTTTGAATCCCATCTGAAGTTAATATCAGGTTTTATTCGTGGAAGCACTACAGGCTGTCACTTAGAATTAAGCTAAGCATACTTAGTCAAGTCATTGATTGAATGGAAGCCTCTAAGGCTTTTTAAGAAGTAAATTGTCTGATTGGGGCACTTCTATGATTTGTGCTGTGTTTCACATGACTGCTTAGATTAATCTTGTCACAAGATTTCAGCTACAATCTCTAAGGCAACATAACCAAAGCAGTTAAAAAAAACCAAAACCACACTTTTGCTCCAGAAAATTTGGACTTTTTAAAGGAAAAACTTTTTTTTTTTTTTTTGCAAAACTTTGTATTCAACATGCCTGAAATACTGTGGTAATGCAGTCTTACATTTAAACAAAGCACGTGGGCTGTGCCTGTTCATGCACTGTGCTACATGCATCGTGAGACTTCTGGAGTTTGGTGTACTGCAATAGATGTGTGTAGTACAACCCCTCCACCACAGATAAGGCAATTTAAAAAAGAACACAAACCCAACAGTTTTAACACAGGAAAACTAGATTTCAGCTGAGATTTTTATGCCCATCTGCGTTTTCATACCTCTGTAACAGTATATGCAAGGTTGCTTTTTCATTTTGCTGCCTGACTGATCTGGACAGCTATACAAATACACCGCTGGAAGTCTGAAAAGGTGTTGGTGTCTAAAGAGCTATACAAATACGCTGCTGAATTTATAGTATGATTTTTAGGATAAAAGTATTATCCAAAAAGAAATTAACAGTAACCCTTAAACTTGGTAAGTAGAGTTAAATACCTGAACGGGTGTTTTGGGACTTGAAGATACTGAGTTTTCAAAGGTTCTAAATTGAAGTGGTGCTTGCAGGTGACAAAGACTTAAAAAATCAAGTAACTGAATAAACTGGATTTGTTTATATGTAGTTTTAGGCTTGAAGAACCTGAGGCAGGAGCCTGCCATTACTGCACTAAGCACTGAATATACCAGATGATCTCTTGTGCACCAGACACCTAACGCTAAACAACAGGGTTGGGTTTTCTTGACATCACTGATAGCACTTAGGATCTAGTGTGACTGAGAAAGAGATGTTTGGTGCTTTATCTATATTTAAAGTGGTGCTTTAAATTATCTATACAAGAGCTAAGAGTTAAAAGTTGATCAGTTTGAAACATAAGCAGTGTTTGCAATTCTCCCTTGATTTTGGCACTGGGAGTTTAGTACAATGAACTAACTCTTGAATTTGGATTGGCAGGTCGCGTATGACATCTGTGTGACATTTCTATGTGCTCCAAGTGCATTCTAGCACACAACAATGAATATGAGATGTTAGCCTCCCAACACATGGGCGGTATCAGCTCTGCTCTTTTCCAGTGTAATATTATCCCTACCACCTGTTACTTGGTTCTCCCCATGAACTCCTCCTATATGCATCGTTATTAATAGTGTGGGGAAGTGGTGTTTTCAGGGCTTTGCACATTAGTAGAGTGTTGCGCTTGCATCTTAAAGCTTTCAGAAGTCGTGAGACTCTAGGTAGAAGACAGAAGGAAAATGACAAACCAGGAATTCAGGACAGGTAGTACTTCATCTGCAGAGGGGTGGATCAGGGGAATTTGCAGGACCTTTCCTGCAAATGATGAATGTATGTACTAATTTCTTCTCCTTGGCAATAGGCAAACTGAACCAGTTAAATCACTGTTTTCTTTCCAGTAAATGAATTATACTTTTATGGAAGGGGCTGAAGGGGTGGGATGGGGACTGCTGTCCTATGCTTGGGTTTTTCTGTCCCAGGCAAATTCAGTCAAAACAGCAGTAGTGCAAATTCCCTTTGGCATCCTGCCTTCAATCCTGACCTGGCAGAGACTGCTTGGAGAGCAAGGACATTTAATTTGGTCTCCATGTCCATTCTTTCCTTGGAGCTTCTTCTGAGGCAGCTAGCAACAGAGATTTTATACTTCTGCACATTTTTACTGAGAAATGGATCTGACAGCCCATTAATTTCACCTGCAGTCACCAGCGCAACCTCCTACCAGTTGCTACCTTATGGAAGCAAACTCTGTCAATGGCATTTCTTCCACTAAATTTATTGCCCACAGTGTTAAACAGTATAGAGAGTGCCGTCAGCAAAAAGCAGATTGAAAGACTGAATTGCTGTGGGAATTTGTCTGCTGAGTGTCAAAATAGCACAATCCTGGGAGGGGAGCTAGCTAGCTAAGTTGCAGCTACCCATACTGTTGGCAGGGCTTTCGCTATCTTTGGCTCGCTTAGAAACTCTCCCTTTTCCCCTTCTGAAGCTGCAGAGCCACAAGTTTTTGACTGTTTTGAAATAATTGTTCAGCATATGCTTTTCAATTAACCATGTAGGACCTGTGTGCAAGATATCAGCAAGCTGTGGTTTCTTACGGCACTTAATGCCGTTTGGACTTGACCAATCACTGCTTTTCAAAGCCTCAGATAAGCTGAAGACTGATTCTTGAAGGTCACATTTCCCTCTGTGAAGAGTTTCAGAGAAATTTTGATCCACACACTCATCCTAGTAGGAATGAAAACTCATTCCCACCAAAGATCATACAAAACTGTGGCTTAATATATGGTTAGGACAGTGCACAATGACAACTTTTGTGTGTTTCTTTGTTGGGGTTGAGAAGTTGAGTGATAACGTGCGAGCTTGGCAGAGCTGTTTTCAGTAAAGCGGTTAAGAGATTCAGGTAACCAATATGATTTAAAAAAAAACCCCAAAGAGTAGTACTAGCTTCTTGAGGGTTACTTACTCTTCCCTGAAAAAATCCCTTCTCTTCTGTCTAGAAATCTTGCCTTGTAAGTATTTAAGAATTCTCCTTAGTTCCTTGGAAAGGAGGAATTCTCAGCTGTTTTGCCCAAAACAAGCAGATCAGCTCTCCTGCATGCAATATGTAGCTCTCCAAGACGTGCTAGATCACAGATACCTGAGTGATTGTAGTTTCAGCATGTCTGGAAGTCATCAGGCAAGGTATAGACAAGTATGTAATCTGGCTGAGCTTGCACAGTAAGTTAAATGCATCCCAGGCATATCAGATTGCTCTTATGCTAGAGTGTGCTCAGGTTTTCTCATCTAGAACTTCTTGAGCAGAAAGCAAGACTCTGATTGTCAGATAAAATAGTATGGTCCAGTTGGCAGCTCATAACTCAGATTTAGCTTGTAATATGCCTCATCTGTTTAATCTTACACCTTTCCCTCCAAGAGGTGGAGAACAGCTGTTTTTGAATGCTGCTGCTGCTGCCACTGCTGCAGTCCCGTCCTGTTGCTAGGAGTGGCTAGTAGGAGCCTGGGGGGTGAAGTGACTCAGTACATTGGCTATGGACTTTCCTAAATCCTGACTGTGTCTCCTTTGGCAGTCTAGGCTGGGGTAAGGAACATATTAAAGAGTTATCTCACTTGTTATTGAACATACCAATGTATTTGCCAGTGATGAGCTGAGACACCTAAGTTCTAGTCTCCAAATCAGAATGACATTCAGTTTTGTATTCAACAGGTTCATGCATTCCCAGACTACAAAGTGAAGATTAGCCTTCCTACTTGATGAAGTGCTGGGAAGATGAATTTCCTTTAAGTCATAGTCACTGTTATTCTCTCACATCTTTGAGGGATGGAATGTAGTAGATAGAGTAAAGCAGACCTCTCTCTGCTCACCTCAGGTGCTCACCCCAGGATTGGGTGTGCTTTGACACAAGGTTTTCTTTAAGGAAGGAAACTGTGAAAGTGAAGAAAGGAAGAGTCCTTTCCCCAAAGCAGCAATGTGGTTTCTAGTCTTGATGGCCTAGGTATTGTGAGGAGCACCTAAGAATCTAGACAACGAGGCAGCAGCATTTTTAGATGTCAAGTTAAAAGCAGTAACTCTTTTAACCATTACAGACCCCATGATGTGCAGTATGATTTTGTCCTCCTGCAATTCTGGGAAGCTTAGCTGCTTCCATTAGCAATTTACCTCAGCGTCCAGTTGACATTTACTGGTAATTTGGCTATGGCAGATAACAGTGTTCCTCCTAAATTTTCTGCTTTGTCTCCCTTCAAGGTAATAATCTTCATAGCAGGGAAATCTAACAGATTAGAGTTATACTCCTAACTGCTGCTTTGGTTTTTAGGGAACTGTAATCTTAACTTTAGCAGTGACACCCTGAGCATGTTTGTCTGGTTCTGCAGTGAGAGCTTCTGCTATGTGTATGTAGCAGTGATCTGGCCAAGCTTCTGTAGCCTTGATCCTTTGTTCTTTTTACTCAGTGTCATAAGTTCTTTGTGAAAGTGGAATTGGGTCCATACATTGTGTTTATCATCCCCAAGGGAAATAGCTGAACAATATTATGAAGGACTCCTAATTACTTCCTCTTTGGAGATGGGAAAAAAAAATAATCTTTATTCAGACAGCTGGTCAAATAAACAATACAGTTTATTGCATTGACATGTAAATGAGAATTACAGTAACTCAGTAAAAACCTAAACCAGAATAGAGTAGCACTGCTACTCTCTAATACTTGTACATTTGTGGTACAAAATAGCTGCATTAACTATAGTGGGGAAAATTTGACTGCAAAGGACTTCAGCATGAAAGTGCATGCTCCTTCCCTGGTAGTGTTCAGTGCCAGGCTGGACAGGGCCTTGGGTGACAAGGTCTAGTGTGAGGTGTCCCTGCCCATGGCAGGGGGTTGGAACTGGATTATCTTAAGGTCCTTTCCAACCCGAACTATTATGTGATTCTAGGACCAAAATAATTCACTTGGAAACCTGAATTACTATTAAGTCTGTAATGCCTGTGTCTTGTTGCTATTATTACCTGTGCTACCAAGTTAAAGCTAGCCTGGATTTGACCACATATGCTACTTCAGTGTAGACAAACTGCATTAGAGTCATTTAGGTGGTCATGAAAATGTAAAAGCTTCCAGTCTTCCTCTTGCTGTTGTTTCGAAGTCTTGTGCAAAAGTTAGCACTACCTCAGTGATGCAAATGTGAATGATGTAAAATGATTTTTAAAGAAGCTTTAAATCCAAATAGTTTTACTGATATATTTTAACACCCAAATACACCCAAATCTGGTTTTAGCTCAGTGAGGAGACAGAAAACTATGGGGGGCAAAAAGGGAGAAATTGTTAAGAGAAGTCAGGAACCAATTCAGCTAGAAATTGTTTTGTGAAGCTACCCTCTGAGGAGAAGCAAACATGAGACTAAACTGCTTTATCTCCTGATAAATCAGAGGATGCTCTTGAATATAAAATACGCAGGAGATGGCAAATTTAGGAAAACATAAAGGGACAAGTACACAGCTGGTGTAAACTGGTATGAATGTATTACACATGTAGAGCCAAGCATATATACAAGGGTTGAAGATCTGCCACTACTTCAGAGGGAAGGATTCTATTTAAAAGGGGGGAGTCATACAGAAGAAAACAAGCCAGTCTGACAAATAGACTTTCTTTCATCCATAATCTCTAATGAAGATGCTCCAACTTTTAAGGATTTTTTGTAGAAATTACACAAAACAACACAGTCATTTTGAAGAGTGATTCATGATGATGTATTTAAATACTGTGCTGTTACGATCTCCTTTGAGAGCAGTGTGAGCAGAGTGAAAGCTGTATGTCCATCCCGAATGATGCTAGTGTTGATGCCTTCTGTCATCTTGCCCAGATTGAATCTTTGTCCTACTAAGATTATCTGAATGCTATAACTGCTAGTCTAGGAGATACCCCAGGAGATACATTGCCTATTGTACTTTATGAAAAACCTATCACAAATCTGCCTTTCACTTGCTTCTGAGTTTGTACTTAAAAACATATAGTCATGGGATTTTATTGGTATTTATCTGTGGTGTCATTTATCTAATGCAGATGGTAGTTTTTCTGTATGTGGAAACGTGTGCACAATAGTACAATGGCAGGAATGTCCCAGTGTTGTGCCAAGTGGACAAAGAACTGATTTTTCTGAAATAAATGGGGACGTGGTTTGTTTCCTTTACTACCTCCTTCACACACCTGAATTGGCAAGTTAACAGCCATGGGGGCTGGATTGAATGGAAATACTGCAGATTATTACATGGCTGCTTCTCCTGCTAGTGCTTTTGGCATCACTGTTGTCTGATGTGAGCTGCTGGTGAGTGTTGTGGTACGGAGATGGCCCAACCTAGCTGTCTAGGGGCAAAACTTTTAATTTGAAAGGAATTACAGCAAAGCATGGCTTCTAGTAGTTACTGCTGTAGTTACTCAAACCCAGCATTCTCTAGAAGAAGTAGTCCTGCCTTCCCCGTTGTAACCTTCCAACACATGTTCTTTGTCTGAACACACACAAGTGGTTCTGAATCAGGTCAGGGAACTGATGCTGGGGACTAGCTGAGCAATTCCTCTGGGAGTCTTGTTATACAGCTAGGGGAACATTTGTGTCAGTACAGGAGAGGAATGGGGAGGCATAAACTGCTCTGGGACTGTAAGACTGCTCCCTCTTGGTATCAGGACCAGCCTGCTGTTACCAAACTGTAACTTTGAGGTGCAAGCCAACCCGAGTACATGTTGCTATCAAAATAGGTAGTCTTTGTGCCCTCAACTTTTGTGTGTATTCTCACCTCTTCCAGCCCCAGCAGCTTAGTGGAGATTCAAGTGAGCTTTCCTTTTCTGACTGAAAAATAACTCACCAACCTCCCCCACCCCCCTAGAATCTTCTGGCTGGTATCAACTCTCATCTAGCTAACCAGAGAGTCAGTACAATTGCTAACAGTGGCACAAAGCAGCAGTAAGCGTGTGTGGCTACAGATGGGGAGAAGGCTGGACTGGCAACTTCCTAGGTTGACTTAAGCGTCTTGAGAAGTTGCTGCTTATGAGAAATTGGCTAACAGTGTTATCTTGCGGCAAAGAGGCAAGTTATTTTGTGTGGCAAAGGAAAGAGAGATTCATTATTGAGGTGGTCCAGTTTCAAGTGTGGCATTTCTTGTCCTAAGTATTGCTCTAGATCTTGAATAAAAAACCTTCACTGACGTTGGCTAAGAAAACCATGCAACAATAGCACCTAATATAGTCCTATTCACACTGTATCCAGAGTAACAGGAATACACTTTCTTCAGTTTCCCCTTTCCCTCAGTTAAGCAGGAAGAATAAAATAGTCTGAAGTAGCCTACGGGAACTGACCATTTTCCGCTTTTCTGCGGATGTAAGGTAGCGCTTGGGCTTGTGGAGAACAGAGAAGCTCTAACGTTTTAGTTTTGAAAGCAAGGAAGCCGAGCTGGGCATTCCTACAAACCAGTTAAGAGCTTACGGGAACGCCTCTTCAAATAAGTGTGTTTTGAGTGACCCCTGCTGGAAACTTCAGGCAACCAGGATTTTTAGCGGTAAGGTCCCATCATGAGGCTTCAATTGGCCAGCCCTAGGCACCCGCATGTGACAACTGGGACTGCTAATGGAGATGGGTTTGTATTCAGGTGAAACTGGGCTGGATCCATCAGCAACCAACATTCCTTACATTGCATCCTGTCTTCTTACATGCTCCATATCATAGCTCCTGAGTCTAAACTGTGTGTGTGCTCACACATTTCTCTTTTCTGTTCTGGCTCTTTCCCCTTACCTACATATCCAGGGTGGAGAAGCTTTACTTGAGTTACTGTACCCTTATTTTTCCTCCTTAGTGAAGCAGCCCAATCTAGCCCTTGGTTGCATTGCTCTATCTCTACAGTGCATTCCTGTCTGCTCTTCACATGCTTTGTGAGTACCTCCATATACTGGTAAATATACTGGTAATTATCTTGATATACTGGTAACCAGTTATGGTTAATACCACCTAAGGCAAAGGACTGTCATATGCTTTAATTGTTAAGAGGATATTCCACCAGGTTCCCAACAAGGTGTATGCAAACCCCCACCAACATTTTTAGGAAGTGGGAACTGGATTTTAGTGCATACTCCTGAGATTCCCCTGCTTGCTTGATGCACGTTGGTCTGCTTAAGGAGCTTTGGACACTCCAATACTTTAAAATCCTGGCTATGCAAGGTAATGGCGAAAAACCACACAACCACCTGTTGATAACCATCTGTTTGTCTTGGTTGTTGTTGGATTTTGTTTGTTTGTTTTATTTTGTGTGGGTTTTTTTGTTTTGTTTTGGTTTTTTATTTTGGTTTGTTTTTATTTTGGTTTGTTTTTTTGTTTTGGCAGGCTGATTTGAACACCAATATTGAAGATGAATCCAGATCTTTCTATGGCGTTTCCAGCCAGTATGAGAGCCGAGAAAACATGGTCATTACCTGTTCCACCAAAGTGTGTTCCTTTGGAAAGCAGGTGGTAGAGAAAGTGGAGGTAGGGAGCAGACACCTGTGTGCAAGGTTCTCTGGCTGTTGTTTTGTGACTTCAAGTATTTGCATCCTATGTATATCTCAAGGCAAAATATGTCCAATTCTTGTTGCCAGGAAGATCAGTGCCATAAATTATTATTTCTGAGACATGCAGGTGTAAGATTGCTCCAGCCTGCAGCATGGCTTTGTCTCGGGACACTGGTAGTGTTTGATGTTTTTTTTTTAATCTTAAATCTCAGTTTCTGAAGATAATGTGAATATGTAAGACTGAGCTATGGTGATTGTCTGGGTTTTTTGGGGGGAGCAAAGAAAAGCTATAGGAAACCCTGACACTTGTTCTGTATTCCAGAAATGTGAAAACAAATCAGCAAGATCTCACTCTCATCAGTGTTTTTAAACAGGTCATTTATACACTATCATCATTAATTAATAGACTAATAATTTACAGACTATAGTCTTAAGGTTTTATGAAGCTTATCCTAGTGCTTGTACACTTGCAGCACTGTGTAACAGTGGAGCTGCATAATTGTGCCTGTATCTGGCGCTGAAAGAAATTCTTTCTGATGCCATATTCAGCTGCTAAGGGAGCTGCTCTGACCTGCTTCCTGCTGCTCTCTTTCTCGAGGAGCCTTTAGATGCAGGAGGAGCAGCTATATGCAGAACACCAGGTATTCTTGTGTCAGCAGTCAGTGTAATTAATGCTACTTAATGTGACATCATTAGCCCCATGTGTCCCTTTCATGTTTTGCATTGCAGACAGAGTATGCACGCTATGAAAATGGATACTATTCCTATCGCATTCACCGTTCCCCTCTCTGCGAATACATGATAAACTTCATTCATAAACTCAAGCACCTTCCTGAGAAGTATATGATGAACAGTGTGCTGGAGAACTTTACTATCTTACAGGTGGGACTTTCAACTGTTTTCGTTGGAGCTTGGAAACCTGTAAGCCCCATGCAGGAGTTCACTGTTGTGAGTCAAAGCAGATTTCCTTTTACAGCTCAGCATCTAATTGAATTTAGTATCGCTCATGTGTATTGCACCTCATGACCTTTTATGGAGCTCTAGAGATAGCAACTCATGCAGAGAAGCAGCAGAAGAATTTGCGAGACACAAGTTAAGATGGAGATAAAAAGAAAGATAAAGGGAGAACTCATGAGGCAGAGATATAAAGGAAGGAAAAAGATACAGAAGTCAGTGAAGGAAATGCTCATTCCATTATTGGACAAATGTTGGTCCTTTCTGTGCCCCGGTCCTTTTTGCAGGTAAAAAATAACAAGAGCACTTTTTAAAGTGCTCTTGTCTTCCCATGTCTATATAATTTTGCCATGGGAAGAGTTCTTCACTGACCAGGTTGGAGTGGGGTGTGAGAAGGGGAAGTTGCTTCCTCAGGACCATCCTGATCCAGGAAAAAATATGGAAGCACATAAAGGGCTATGTTGCAGGAAGTTCTGCGACCCTTCCATGAAGCCTCTGAAGCCTTTACTGCAGCTTCTAGATAGGGCAGTACTACAAGGCTATAGCAACTAGATTTGCATTGGTGTCTGTGTTACAGCAGGAGCCTTTCCAGGCTCAGATGTTGGCCAAATTTGGGGAGAGGGCAAAGACAGCTTAAAAGATGGATTTTCCTTGGGCTGAGTTCTGTGCTTGCCTCTACAACACGCATCACAGATCTTCACCCAGAGGAGCTGTGGCTGGGTAAGTAGAAGATATGCTAGTGGCTGCATGAAAGAATGGAAATCAAGTGGTCTTCATTCCATTCTCTGGAAATCCTGTGGGACTTGAGGCAACTCATTTCACTGCTCTGTGATTCAGGTACCACAGCTGTAAAACACAAGGTTAATAATATCCCTCAGTCACTCCAGCACTTGCTATAAATTCTATGAACAAAGTTGTTATATATTTATACTTCCTCTGGAGCTTTACATTTTGAGTAATCTCATGTCCTTCTGCTATCCCATGTCACAGAGAGGCAGTCCCCACTACCAACTTCTGAGACAAGTCTAGTTATGTTTTTTCTAGACCCTTTCATGATCTTAGATATGCCATATCTCACAAGCATCTTGCTTTGCACATTGCTCTGCATCTAGCCCTCCAAGATTTCAGAGCCCATTTTTCAGAAAAGGCTCTGGTGCTTTAATATATGTGGATATGTATAATTCACAATGGCCTGCAGAAGAAAGGAGAAGAGTTAGTTCAGCTGCAAAGTATGCTCATGAAGTAAGAAAAGAAAAAAGAATAGATCAAAACCAGGCTGCTAAAATTAATAAGCAAGTTTGATAATGGCTATTTTTTTATTCCTGTTTTCACAAGAATGGTTGGACTTTGGTACAGTTCAATCCTCCACCTGGTATGTTTTTTTTTCTGCAGTTGAGTTGGTGCTACTGCTGATAAAAATATATCACCTCCAGCAGGAGAGGACTGCTTGAAGCTTTAGCTATGACACAAACTCAGATGACAAGGGTGTGCAAAGTTGTGCAATGACAGGGCAAAGCTGAGCTAGGAGCTCTGGTTGCATTATTTCGCTTGTCCCTGCTGTGTAGTATAAGCAGTGCATGCTTTTGAAACTGTTCCATCATCACACTGCTGACACTGAGTCACATTTCAGAGAAGCTAAGGTTTCTGAGGGACCATAGAAGAAGAAATGGAAAAGAGGAGCTTCTGAAAGAATGTACAAATGTAGCAGCCAGCCATCCTTCTACTGACATCTACAGAATGGGAGGCATAATGGAGTCAAACCTATACATCTCCTGTACAATGAGTTACATTCTATAATGTTCATGGTCTGTCCTTGTCTCACTGACAAGCAGGAGCAGATGGAGGCAAAGAACTGTTCATGACTGTGATGTATCAACATATATATGAGCAGGAATGGTTGTACCACAGGAGGTGGCTTCTCTGTACCCAACAAACAAAAGCAAAAAGATTTTCTGTGAAACACCTTCTGTCTGCTGAAATCTGCAACACTGGGGGTGGGGAGTAGAGGACCTAGTGGGACTTAGTGGACACGCTTCCATTTATGTGGTCACTGCTTGGTCACAGCATTCTTTTCTCCACAGCGGACTCTGCTCACCTCCCTGTATCTTCACTGCATTGTAGTCCTGATGCTGCATAAGTGCTTTGCCTGGGTGATTGGGCACGCAGACTGGGTGTTGTGGTGGCTGAGCTGTGTATCATTCCTCTTCTTTGCATATTACTGACCTTTTGCTCTACATGAAATATGTTGGAATATGTAAGCAGAGAAACAGCAGTTGCCATTTCAGTTTCTTCTCCTTTTCTGTCTAGGTTGTCACAAACAGGGACACACAGGAGACCTTGCTGTGCATAGCATATGTTTTTGAGGTGTCAACTAGTGACCATGGTGCCCAGCATCACATCTACCGGCTGGTGAAGGACTAGAGACTCTCAGCCCTGAGTCATCAATGGGATGCATGTCTAAGAAAAAAGCCTGTGCTTGAACAACCCCTGGCCCCTCATACCAAACTGAAAAATAAACTGCATATATTGTGTATTTTCAGAAAAGCACCTCTGAGCTGTTGTGTGATTGACAGGGTCAAATAAGTTTGTATCTGCAGGTTTGTGCAAATGGGAAAAAGACTTGGAGCCAAACAGGCAAATAACGCTTAAGGATGTCACCACAAACAGCGTTTTCTGCAATGTATTTCCCACAGAGCACACACATGTGTGATCATACATGAAAGGAGTGGTATGCACCTCAGTTTACAGGTAGGACAATGGCAGCAGCTTCCACAATTTGATGACATATGAACAAGTTCAGGTTGAAAATGTTCATGCTACATCTGGTCTGAGGGTATGCACATATATATATATATATATACACACACATACATATTCATTTGTAGGTCAATACAACGTCAAGCACAGACATGCTTGTCATACATTTATATTGATGTGTGTGGGCACATGCATGTGCGTAGAGATTGCACATATAACATATATCTGCCCGTCTAGCAGTCCACCTTAGCAGGCATGCAGTCACAAGCTCCTTCAACCTTCCTCCTTTTAGAGGCTGGATACTGTTTCCCTCTCTTCCATGCATGACAGTGAGAGACTGACTTTTCTTTTGCCTTCTAAATGAAGTTATGCTTAGAAAATTGGGTGTGTTAAATCATGTCATCTTGCCCAGCAAATTTCCTCCATGTATCAGCTCTGCTAATTTGACTAAAATAATTCTTGCTGCTTCTGCTTGTTCTCCCTGTACAATTAGACTGCTCAGGGAGCTAGACTCTGCTCTTTTCTTGTGCACCAGCAAAATAATTGTTTACTGAGATCACATTCTTCCACCTGTTAGTTTCAGAGAGTGAGCATGCAAGTATTGCAAAAATGCCATTTGGCCATCAAATTGCGGGAAAAAGATGGGAAAGAATAATGAAAAAAGGTTAGTGTGCCATGTTTCCAAGGCAATCAAACAGAGCCTCTCTCCTTTACTTGTAAACTGAGGTTGTTTACTTAAGAGTCACTGAGAGGCAGTCTTGTTCCCCACAATGCTGCTGATGTGGGGGAAGATCTAGTCATGTATGTTACTCTGAGGGAAAGAGGTGGGTTGCATGGTGGCAGGCACTAAACAGGCAATTTATTGGGTGGACAGACACAGTCCCATGGCACAGATTTGGCTATACGGTGTTACATCTCTTTCCATAATGCATCACACCACCTTAGGAAACATCTCTCACTTACTTCAGATGTTTCCATCCTTGCATTTTTGGCATAATGTACTCATGGGTACCTGAGGAATCTGAGATATCGTCAGAAATCAAGAGTTAGAATGCCAGAAGGTAAGGGCTTCAGCCACACACAGATACAGTCTGCCTGCTTTCAAGAACTCATGAGGTTGTTGGTACTCCCTTCTACAGCTTCTAGTCTGCTGGTTAAAGGGCTCTGGTGGATTCCATAAAAATAGTATAGAACTCTTCACACAGCATAAGTAGAGGCCTGCAGATTTACATATCTCCTCCAGCTTCCTAACCATTTCCCTATCCTGTAAAATGTTTAATTTCTGTATTTGAAATAGTAAGTTTTACTCATTTACATGGTACTCCAGGAGTCTTCTCGCAGATTTGATGATTTTGTTTCATGCACATTCAAATCTCAACTCCCTTCAAAGTTTAAATCTTCCACTCCTAGAGAATGTTTTATGGACTCAGGTTAATCCTTTGAGTATTGGAAGGTCTTAAGGCCTTTTCACAAGTATTTTTGAATATTCTCCATTCTCTTATTAATGAAAAATGCTCAGTCGTCACCTTCCAGTGTACCATCATAGAATAGTTAGGGTTGGAAAGGACCTTAAAATCATCTAGTTCCAACCCCCCTGCCATGGGCAGGAACACCTCACACTAAACCATGTCACCTGAGACTCTGTCCAACCTGGCCTTGAACACTGCCAGGGATGGAGCATTCACAGCTTCCCTAGGCAACCCATTCCAGTGGCTCACCAGCCTTACAGTAAAGAACTTCTTCCTTAGATCTAACCTGAACTTCACCTGTTTAAGTTTGAACCCATCACCCCTTGTCCTATCACTACAGTCCCGAATGAATAGTCCATCCCCAGCATCCCTGTAGGCCCCCTTCAGATACTGGAAGGCTGCTATGAGGTCTCCACGCAGCCTTCTCTTCTCCAGGCTGAACAGCCCCAACTTTCTCAGCCTGTCTTCATACGGGAGGTGCTCCAGTCCCCTGATCATCCTCGTGGCCCTCCTCTGGACTTGTTCCAGCAGTTCCATGTCCTTTTTATGTTGAGGACACCAGAACTGCACACAGTTCTTCAAGTGAGGTCTCACGAGAGCAGAGGGGCAGGATCACCTCCTTATTCAACCTGCTGGTCACACTCCTTTTGATGCAGCCCAGGATATGGTTGGCTTTCTGGGCTGCGAGCTCACACTGAAGCTGGCTCATGTTCATTTTCTCATCAACCAACACCCCCAAATCTTTCTCCGCAGGGCTGCTCTGAATCATTTCTCTGCCCAGTCTGTAGCTGTGCCTGAACCTAGGTGTAGGACCTTGCACTTGGCTTGGTTGAACTTCATAAGGCTGGCATTGGCCCACCTCTCAAGTGTGTCAAGGTCCCTCTGGATGGCATCCTTTCCCTTCAGCATATCAAACAAACATACAGTTTAGTTGTTGATGGAAGAGGTGATGTCAGGCCATACAAAGGATGTTTATTTAGCCTAGCATGTGAGGAATCCTAAAAATTTCCATTTCTAAATGGATTTCAAACAGAAGACCTGGATATAATCTACTTGCAAAGCCCTACTGAATAAGCTTCGTGTATATGTACAGTTTTAAAATAGAATCGTTCCAGTTGGAAGTACCTACAGTGATCATCTAGTCCAACTGAACATGAGCTGGCAGTGTGCCACTAGGCTTGGACAAATCAATTTGATGTGGAACAGGGAATAATTTACTCATTTCCTCATTAAGCTATTGCATGCCAGTTGATCTGCTTTAACTGTCCAATTTAGATTTCTATTTGCATGTCCTTCACAGGGATGAGTCTTCCCCAGACATTACTGTGGAGCAGCTGACGTGATACTGCTTCTGCAATGCACACTGCGCTTGGCTGCTCATGGCCTGCAGGTCATAACCTGTTCTTTGCAGCATGGGAAGGAAAGGATGTGGGTAAGGAGGATAGCAAAGATGATGCCATGAAGTCAAGAGCTAGGCCAAAATGGTTTGGATCTTGTTACTGGAAAAGGGAACCTTTTATTTTTTACCTATAACAAAGTACTCCCCCCCTTCCCCCCAATCTGTTTTTGAGGACTGGGCAGGGCTAGTGCTGTTTACCTCTGTGCAGGAGCCAAAAGTAGTTAGTAAGGTACAGAAGCACCTCTTACACCTATTAAGCAAAATCTACACCTTCCTGTGCACAAAGTTCCCACGGCTACTCTCTCAGAGACAAACAAATGCCTTCAAGAACTGACTTCAAAACAGTAACACACAACACAGATGCCAACAGCTTTCCATAAGATCTGTATGGCTGGCAACCAGAATGAGTGAAGCTTGGAGCAATACAAGCCAAATACTTTGAACACCTAGAAACCAGTATCCTGTTCTGTGCTACGCATGAAAACCTCATGCAAGCACAGTCCCACTCACCCACTGTGTGTCATTGGTAGCTACAGATGATCAGACTGAATTAACTACTTCTCTGTAAACCAGGCAGCCCCCACACTTGGCCATTTTGGTATGAACTACAGTCCATTACTGATGCATGCACCTGCCTATTTCAGTCCTATGCAATTTCCTTCCTGATCTCTGAACCATGTGTAGAACAGACAACAAATCAAATAAAACCTCATTGATAAGAAAAAAGACTGACTCTTGGGAAAAGCAATTTTGGTCAACACAGAAAACAAATATGTTTTGAAATTAAGCTTGTACAGAGAAAGGGCAGTGTCTGGTCCCCAGCAACAGAAAATTGCATGTGATATGTATTAGTACTCTTCTGCAAATGTAAGCCAGGTGCCTAGAATGCATCCACTGAAGCTTTACACCAGTACAGCAGACCCCACAGAGTAGTCCCCAGAGGAGATGAGCCTGAGAATTCTACTTAGGACATCAGCTGATCACGAATAAAACCACATTAGCACAGTTTCAAGATGTTATCGAAGTGATGAGTACAAACCAACAGGCTGAAGAACAGATGAAATCTTAGGACAGTTGATTTCGGGACACTCATGCAGGTCTTCTTTTGTTTGTTTGTTTTATACTTAGTACGATGAACTCTCATCTCTGGCAGTGCTCCTTTCTGCTCTTGATCTTGGAGTTCACAGCTCCTTGGTGTCAATAACCAGGGTCAGCAAGAAACATGTACCTACCTTTCAAATTCAGCAGAGAAACCAACAGAAAATTCATGTATCTATCTGGGAGAGTTCACTTTTATGGAGGTTACCAGATGATGAAGACTTAATAAGGCTGTGAGACAAAAGGAGTACAGAAAATTTTGATCTGGTTTGAAAGGCTCTGTCCCCGTGCAGACTGGGTGAGATCCCTGCAAAGGCTGAAAGGACTGTAGATCTTTGTCCCCAAGGCTTCCTTTTCTGGAATTTTACCAGTACATCAGAACTAAGAGCCAGCTCCAATTTTGCTGAAATTAAAGAAAGCAAACACCCAAAAGCAGCATATGTTAAAAAAGAGCTAGCCTAGTTTCAAGAGGAAGGGATAAACTGAACTCTAGACAACCAACAATAAAGGAGGATATCAGAGTGTCTTACAAGTATTATTTCTGTTAAGGCAGAAATACTAGAAATATTAACTGCAGCCTGGTAAGAACTTGCTGTAAAATCAGAGGACAAAACAGCAAAAACTGATTCTCCTGATCATTTTACAACTGTAACACAGACATTAGAAGATACAAAACAAGAGTCTAAATATCCATGCTTTCTTTATAAGAAAGCAGCTCAAAAGTTTCCATTCAAGTATGGCTCCTTCCTTTTCTGTGCATCTTGGACCAGATGCAGGAGTTGAAGAACTTGAGTGGTGACAGCAAAGAGTAAGCACTGATTCAG